CATCCTCCCTCACACCCTACACACACACACACACACCTCCCCCACAAAAGATGTTAGGGCTTTTCACATTAGAAAACTGGGATGGAGAATCAAAGGGCATTTCCAGGCAGGTCAGATCAAAACAAAACCATACACATACACACATAGTGTAACAATACAGTCACTTCAGAGTTTTTAAAAAAGGCCCACAATTTTTAGGGGAAAGTAGAGAAAATAACATAAAGAGCTATTCTTACAAAAATGCACTGCTTCCCTCACCTGTAATCCCTAGCCGCCAGAGTAAATCCAATACTACACTGTGAGCATGTCTACACATGCACCCCACTGCACAGTTGGTACCGTGCAGTCATTTAGTACTTGCTAAAGCAAGTACTAAATGACTGTGCAGTACCCACCAGTACTATGCAGTCCTGGCAGCAAACAGAGATGCACCCAGTATTCTGTAAACTCCAATTAGGCCCCACACAGGCCAGCAACAGATAACTAGGAGGTAGTGTGTATAGCTGAAAAAGGAAAGAAATTAGAGGGAACTAACAAATTGATATTTTTTTCTACTCTTGGAGATGTGAACATCTTTCAATACGCTTGTAACAAAAGGGAGAGGAATCTAAAATGTAGGGTTCCCAAGGCTCTATAGTCCCATGTAACCTACCACCAAATCATATGCCAAGGGAGAGCTTTTGGGCTTTCGTACACACCACAAAATTGGCCTTTAAAGCCACTTAAATGCCCTTTTGCACTGCTTTAATGGTGTGGCTGTTTACACTGTCACCGGCGTATTGCACATTAAATGACTTTGGGATGTAGCAAAATAAAACACCACCTACCTTAACCATGGAGGGAAGCACCAGGCCCCATGCAGTTCAGGGGCTGGTTGCAGGCAGCCCATGCAGGCAGCCTGACAGCAGCCTGTGCAGGCAGGCTCCACTGAAGGAAAAAAAAAAGTGGCAAGCTTGATCTCTTTTTTTTCCCTTCCTGGAGCCTGCCTGCCTGAGCTGCATGGGGGCCCAGTGCTTTCCTCCATAGCTGCAGGGGGTGGGGGGGACAGTGCTTCCCTCAATGGCTGCAGTGCCCCCAGGACTGCCCGGACCGGGTGCCTGTGGGCAGGTAGCACCTGGGGGGGAGCACCCTGCTCCGTCATGGGGGGAAGCACCATCCCCCCTGCAGCTCCAGGACTGCTTGGTCCACTGGCAGCTGCCTTCCCCCCCCCCACCAACACTGGCCACTGGAAAGGCAAATCAGGTTTGGATCTGACCCTTGTATATATGCCACAGGGGTTTACTTCAGTTTAATTCTCCCTAAATTGAAGCAGTGTTTTTAAAAATCCACCACTACAATTTAAAGAGAATTAAACCAAAGTAAACCCCCATGGCGTGTACAAGCTGCCTTTTCCCCTAAAATAGTGACTTGGAATGTGTGGTTCCATCATATTTTCACTTGCTCCATCCATGTGGGACATATCCCCCTCCCTCTACATGGCATTCTGCATTTAGCTGGGGATTGACAGGACAAGAAACTTAATCTGAGGCTGTAGTATTTTTCCGACAAACCTTTGTGAAAAACAGTTTTTCCCTCTGCATCACCTTTCCCTTGAAAACCAAAAGCTCTGGGGACTTTCAATTGCTACCAGGCCAACATTCCCCCATAGGGTATCCTGACTGGCATTAGATTATCTTAGTAAGCAGCCCTAGGGCCTAGCCACGCCATGGTATCGACTCCCCTACGTAGCCACAAAATCCAAATGTATATCAACAAACATTTCCAGTTTGAAGTAGGGGAGCAAAAGAAAAATGTCGTCTGCTACTGAAGCCCATACAACTACTTTTGGAGAAGAGGTTCTGGAAAATGGGGTGTCACCAAAGTGCCAAAAGTTAGAAAGCTTCTGCAGGCCCATCCCTTTTTCAGGATGACCTAAATTGCCTTTCTTTGTTAAACATTATGGATCTTGTCTTCTTTCACCCATTTTAGCTTGGCACCACTGTTAACACATTAAGAGAGATTTCAGTAGAGTCACCATGTTCCAATAATTTCACTTTGCACAGTAAAAAAGATCAGGGTTTCTCAACCTGAGGATAGACCTCTGACCACCTTCGTATTTCATGTTGTTTAATGTGGGAGGAATGATGTGGGGTCCCTTAGGATGGTCCTACTATGGAAAAGGGCATTATAAGTTTGATAAAGGGTAAGAACGTTCATTTAAAAAACCACAAGAGTAAAGAGTGACAGAATACCCCTTGCTACTTTCACTTTTTGACTAGCTCAAACTAAAATCTCTTCCACCTCAGTTCAGTTTATCATGCAGAGTGGTGCAGAAGAAAGAGAACCTTTTCTCTCTCAGATGCTGGGATAAGGGATGAATGTCCTTTCTCAATATTGTCCAGCCACCTGCCTTTGCTTGGCCCACACCCTTTTTGAAAACAATTCTTCTTCCCTAAAGAGATAAAGGCAGAAAAAGACTACATAACTATAAACACATTTCCAGAGTAAGGTGCTAGGAGACTGGACATATTTACGGCTCTACTTTTTAAATAAATAAAGTATTATACATTTAGTGTTGATTGAACTCCTCAATTCACAAAACAGATGTAAGTAACTCAGGTTTCCCTTCAATCTTAACCTGGGGATTAAAAATAGCTCAGTCTTTCCTGTCATTTAGTTGTTGGCCTCTCTACTAAGAACATCAACACAAGAGCCAACTCATGCCAACTGTTTCTGCAATACTGACACTTTTCCACTGCGAATGACAGTAGGAATGCCTGCTTATTGCATACAGGACACCAAGCAGCTATCAGCAGCATCCAGTCACTGCTTACATTTTCTAGGCCAGAAGTGACCTAGAGGTAAAAGTCCCTATACCCTAAGCCTTACAGCCAGCTAACAGAGGATGAGGAAGGACTAGGGAAGTGTGCTGACCTACTCAATAATTTCGTATGCAGCTACCAAGTCAAGAAACAGAACCAGGATTTCTTCATAATGTGGGATGGGGACCTGCATGTTACGGTACATAAAGTAAATAAGAGGATTCACCTACAACAGTCAAGTATATTACTGGCCTCAGTCAAACTCTTCTTATACAAGACAGAGTATTTAAGGCTTAGCTTCACCCTAAAATGTGTGTATAGAATGAGTGTATGTCTAACAGGCCAAATTGTACCTTCATGATTTTTATAGGATGTTTATTCAGTTTTCTGGTAAAAGAACTGTATTTTTCCCCATCTCCCCTGTCTACAAACGCAGCCTGGGCTCAGAGTCAAGCTTGGTGCATTTCTCACAAGTAATGGAGTTTCTGAAAGCAAAATTAAAAGACATTTTTCCAACTCTATTGTCTTCAGACTGCTTTGTGCCTTCTGTGACACCTATACAACCCTATTAGCCCTCAGTAGTTTGCAAAGATGCTTCTGAGGGCAACCTGAAAACAGTGTGGATGTCCAGTGTTACTGATGACTTAATCTGGCCTGTGGAACTTTTCTTACTCGTGGTGCAAGACTGAAAAACCCCAAATTGCATGTCAGGGCTTAGATGGTAAAATTTTTTTAAGTTGCCAACCAAGAGATTTTAACATGGAAATTAGTAAGATGAAGTGAATATGGAACTCACAGTTCTTTTAAAGAGCTGCTTTTAAAGATGGAACCATGTTTTCAACCAGGGCCCAACTACGAAACAGAATCACTGGGTGCCTCTAGGTGTGCAGCGATGCTGCTCCAACAACCCGTATTTACAGCACACTGGATCAGACTTGACTGAGTCTGCTGGAGCATGCTAATTAGCGCACTGTAGTAGCCTCCACATCTCGTGTATTTAGCATCCCCATGCTTCAAAATGGGGAGGGGGGTGCTTTAACTAAAGCTCATGAAATGAGCTTTAGTTAAAGTGTCCCCCGCCCCCATTTTGAAGCACGGGACCTTGAATACATACGATGCTGCAGGCGCTCTCAGAGCTGCTCTCATTAAACTCCCCCCCCTCCTTCCCACCCCCAGAGCATGTGTAAAAATGCCCACCGTGTGCATCTACATGTGATACTACATTGCTGTAGCACAGGGGAGGGCAATTATTTCGGGCAGAGGGCCACTTACTGATTTTAGCAAGCCATCGAGACAGGATGTTGGCAAGCCAACGTGACAGGAACCAGGGGCAGATAAATATTAATTTTCTAAATTTTTAGGGGCCCAGTGGGCTGGATAGAACGGCCTGGCGGGCCGCATCCTGCCTGCAGGCCACACTTTTCCAATGCCTGCAGCATAGCAACATGCTCTCTCGGTATAGCGAGTTGCTATGGCAACATAGCGGCTAAAAATAATGGTGTGCAGCAGGCACAGTGCAGTATGGGCTGTTACTGCACTGTCCAAAAGGCAGTACTACATGATGATGCAGTAACAACAGCAACATAGGGACACGTGTAAACGCATCAACCACATCTAAAAGAAGTCAAAGGTCCACTGAAACCTAAGAGTGCATTGGCTAGTAGAGCTCAGACACACCAGCTTCTGTAGCCAATGGCATATAAGGAAACAATACGATTAGCACCACATCCAACTGCTTTGACTCCCAGCCTGAATGACCAGGTTTCCATTTACAGTCACCTGGGGAGCAACCATTAGCTTGAGTCTAAAATGAGGCTTAAACTCATACCTCTGGAGCTATAGCAATATCCCGTAACCACTCTGCCACTATACCCTACGTAGTCAATGTAGGACTCCAAAATTTTGTGCTGCAGGAATCTTGTAAGATAACAAGGAAGGAAAGTAACAGAAAAACCTTTAAACTCTACTTTTAATAAAGATTTCATCTTTCATTTTATCCTCAGTAACATGTTAATTTTAAAAAGAATTTAGGAAACTATATAGTACAAGGAAGTCAGGATTTTTTTCTGCTGCCATGATACTGTAAGGCTAAAACCATCCCTTTCAATAAAATTGTCCAAAGCATTGAAGTTTATCATATTGTTTCTTAAATGTCTTAGTCAGGTTCTATATACATGATAGTATTTTTTTATTTTAGTGTTCTATATTAACTAACCAAGATACTAAAGGATCCTTCTTGTAAATGCTGCATTTTAACAATTACTATAGAACCCTGTACTATGTTCTCATAAAGGAAGAGGGCTCTGTCATAGAAAGAAAGGTGGCCTTGTGGCTAGGGCATGAGATTGGAAGTGGGGAGACAATGGGGTGCTTAGTGAATCCCTTAATCTTTCTGCACTGCAATTTCCCCATCTATGAAATGGGTGTCACTCTCCTATACCTCACACAGGTTAATGTGAGCTTTGATTAACGTATCTACAATACTCAACACTCTCATGAGAAGCATGAAAGAACGCTTCCAGATATGGAACCAGAGTTTTGTCTATGTGATACATTGAACAATGTTGGGAGGGTGGTTACTAGAAAATAACTTGGCTTCCTTATTGCAGTAGCCATGTTGGATATAATTTCATACTTGGTCAACCTGACCATACCCCCCAGCTGTAGCGTCTGGATAAAACTCTGGTAGCAGAAATATCAGGGGAGGAGATTACAACTTTGTTTGAATTGTTTATAAAATGGTTGGTTCTAAGTTAACCTGTTCTAACTGTAACAATTACAAGGAAAATCCTAGAGGAGATTATGAATGTGTCAGTGAAAACGTCTGCTCACTGGGCAGCTACTGATGCAGAGTGTCCACAACGTAAAGCAGTATAAAAAGAAGGACAGAAATAATACTGAGAATATTTCAATGCCACGGTGCAAACCAATGACACACCACAACTTCAAATACTGTTCACTTCAGCTCACCCTAGCTCAAAAAAGCTATCACTAAAATGGAGTTACTTCAGGAGACAAAAATTATTAGGGGAATGGAAAGTTATCATTTGAGGAGAGACTGAAAAGTTGGGGACTGTTTAGAATGGAGATGGATAAGAGAAGGCATGTTACAGGTGCATTAAAAATAATGATATAGACAAGCAGATCAGGTATTTCTATTCAGCCTTTCTCCTCATATTAAAACAAGGAGACATCCTGTGAAAATGAAAGGTAATGCATTTAAAATAGAAAAGCCAACCCCTAACTTCCTGGTATTAGAAAATGTCCCTCAGGGTAGTTTATTTCTTAAGTATCTATTACAGGAATTATTGACTCTTTTTTTTTTTTTTTTGGGGCATTTGCCGG